TACTCAATCTCTGACAGGAGAAGGAATGAGCCAGGCAGCTACCATCTGCAGGTCCAACTTTAAGGTGAGTTTGGGGGCCGCTGGACTGCTGTGAGGAGGGGAAGAAGGGGACAGGAACAGGAGAATAGCAGCCACCTAGGAATGAGATGACATGACCCTGGTCCTTTCTAGACATGTGTGGCATCACAGAGTCCTGTCAAGATAGAGGCTGCTGTCTGGATGTGACCAAAGTTTTCTGGGTGCATTTTGCATCCTGTAAGGTCCAGCCTCCGGATCCCGTGTCCTCACGGGCTGGATTGATTGGAAGTGCTGGGTGTGTGCGCACATGAAGGGGCCTGAGGCTGACGGTGGCTGTCTTCTTTAGTCATTCTCCATTTTATTTTTGAGACAGGGTTTCTCCCTGAACCTGAAGCTGGCCAGCCATCTCAGGGATCCTGCTGTCTCTTCCACCTTAGTGCGGAGATTACAGGCACACATCGCACACAGATTATTACAGGCTCATACCACACTCGGTGGGCCGTGGGGACTCAGTCAAACTTGGGCCCTCATGCCTGTGCAGCAAGCTTTACTTATCGAGACATCTCAGCAGCCCACTTATTTCTGATCAAACCTTTAAAAATAAAACCTCACGTCCCACCCTGTCATTGCCATCCTGCTCTGACATTCTGTTAAAACCACTTCAGCTCCGGGGATAGTGTCAGATCTAAGTCCTGGAGTGGGGGGGGGGTGGTCAGCCAGGCCTTACTGCAGGAGGGACCGTCCACGAGGAATGGCTCCAGGAACTCCCAGGCCTGAGGTGCTCATGAACATGTAGACCTGAGCAGACAGAAAAGGCTAAGAAGATGCAGCTTTCAGGCAACTTAGAAAAGGGTGTTGGGAGAGATGAGGTTCCAGAGGAAGCCATGTGGAAGCTGAGGGACAAAGGGGCTCAGAACCTTAGCGGGTGGACAGCAGGTCATCTGGAGAGGGACTAGAGGAAGGCAGAATCTCAACTGAAATGAGACAGGTATTGTAAGGATGCATGGAGTGTGGGGGGCAGGGAAGGCATGGGCATGGAACAAGCAGACGACATCCTGCCCAGGAAGCAGGCTGCCCACACATGTCCTCCTGTGTCTCTACCCTCAGCATATGTACTGGACCATGCTGCAGCAGCTCACACACCACTCCGTTAATGGATGCAACCTGAGACCCGGGGACCTCCTGGCTTCCGGAACCATCAGTGGATCCGTGAGTGTCAAAATACCCGCTGGGTCCCCAAGCCAAAGATAGGCCAGTTGAGCAAGTTGGGGGTAAAGGAGACCTGTGTGAGAACCAGAGCTTGACTCTGTCTCCCCAGAAAGCAGCAATCACTCCATCTAACACAGAAGGAGGTGACCTCACTGCTGCAGGCTTCTCATCTGCCCCTGCACCACCATGGGCCTGGGGACAGGGGTGCACAACTTGGAAATGGTGAGGTGGGGTGGTGAATAGGTTGTGAGATCCTGGCCATGGTGACTGGGAGGTAACAGTCTCTCGCCAGAGGTATAGTGCTGGGCATGGTACTGCATGGAGGTTGTGAGCTGCAGTCAGTGGAAAGAGAAGGCACCCTAAAGCAGGCCCCTGAGCATGCTATAGGCACAGGAACCGGAACAGACAACATGCTTACAGGAAGGATGGAGGCACACCCTCTTGAGCCACCAGGACGCATCTGCAGTGGCCTCAGAGGTTTTATGGGCCCCTGTCTCTCACCGTACTGTCACATCAGAGCTGACCTATTATATCACCAAGATATAAATGCATGCCCCCCCCCCCCCGCTTCCCTTATAAAGGAACCTGGAAGCTTTGGCTCTATGCTAGAACTGTCCTGGAGGGGAACAAAGGCCATCGATCTGGGCCAGGGGCAGACCAGGACCTTCCTGCTGGACGGTGATGAAGTCATCATAACAGGTGCGGCCCACTAACCCCTCACAGGGCTTCAACAATAGACCTTTCAGTCAGTCCTGCTCACAGGGTCCTCCTGCTTGCTCCACAACAATCTATCCTATTCTGTCCAAGATCCCACATACAATCTATCACCTCTTAGCATGGGGTTCTGCCTGGCTCACTCAGCTTCCTTCTCCTGCAGACCCTCTGCTATCACAGTATCGCTTTTCTTAGAGCCGGCGGACCCCCAACCTCAGCCTGGCACAGCCTGGCACAGCCTGGCACAGCCTGGCACAGCCTTCCCTGCCACCTCTGTCCTCTGCCAGCAGCTCGATGTCATTCAAGGTGGCAGCATGACTGTCAGCTTCCGTACCCAGCCAAGGTCTCCTGTTCCTTTCCTGTGCTGTGCTAAGAGCTCACGAGCTTGATGGTCTTCTCTCACAGTTCTGGAAGGCAGAAGTCTGCTGTGCAGCTAATGGGGGGCTGCGCTCCTTACAGATGTCTGGGGGAAAGGCCTATTCTTGGCCTTCCAGCTACAGCGCCACCAGCAGAGTTCTAGTCCTTGTTCCCATCAACACACAGTCTTGTTCTGTTCCTCGAACCTCCCTCCTTGCCTCCTATGACATACTTGTGTAGATTTCAGAACCCACGCAAATAGCCTTATCTGAGGATTCTTTCCATAGTCACACCTGAAAGCCTCTACTCTGTGAAGTAGGTGCCAGTGTGGGATCTGATATCGCTGGAGTTCATAGCTCAATCTGAAGTGCATAGTGATAAGCTAGGCATACTGTTTAGTGGGCTGAACCAAGGAGAAAGGTACATCAGGGCTCAAAACAGCAAGCAGCACCCCAGGGTTGATCACTACCCACTTTGCTCCCACTAATCCTAATTCTGGTTAACTATGTAGAGCCTCATGGTGTCTGTGCTTCAATGTCCACGTATCCAACCAGTTACAGAGGGAACATATTAAGAAACGTTGTGTCTGTACTGAAAATGGCCAGTCTTCTTGTCATTCTTCCCTAAGCCATACAGTGTAACTCTTGACATGGCAATTGTATTGTCTTAGGCACCGTAAGCCACCCTTAGATGATTTGAAGTGTGTAGGAACCGTGTGTGTAGGCTCTATGCAGACTGCCCAGGGGCTTACCCTGGAGATGCCGAGGGCCGTCTGTGTTTATTAAATGTCTGAAGTGCCCAGCGGTGTTGGAGGTCTGTCTGCTTCCACGCTTTCTCTTTCTACTCGCCCGAGCCTTTTGGAAATGTGTCGTTGCCCCAGTTCTGCAAAGTAAAAAAACCTAGCAGCGTATAAGGGAGGTGACTCTTGGCAGATCACACAGACGGCAAGGTCAGGATACAGTTCCCGTTGCGAGCTGCTCTCCAAGGCTAGACCTCTGCCTGTCCAGCAAGGACGCCAACTGCTGTGTGCCAGCTTTGTGTCTGGTGTTGCTCCAGTGCCCACCAGCCAGCCTCAGGTCTTGCTGTAGGGTCCTGTGCATTGAGTGAACGTGCTTTTCACAGCGTTGATGTGGAAAAGAGAGGGGAGAGAGAGAGAGAGAGAGAGAGAGAGAGAGAGAGAGAGAGAGAGAGAGAGAGAGAGGGGAGAGAGAGAGAGAGAGAGAGAGAGAGAGAGAGAGAGAGAGAGAGAGAGAGAGAGAGGAGAGAGACTCTGACTCTGAATAAGCTGCCTCGAACAATGCAGAATTGTCTCTGCAGCTGTCAGGCCTGGAAAAGAGGGCCCCAGGGCTGAGGCAGCAAGCCCCATGGTGTTCTTGATGTTTGTACCACAGAAGGCAGGGCAAGTCCTTTTCTGTGTGGTCATGGGAAGCAGGATCCACAGGAGCCTTGGTTTGTCCTGCCTTGGCCACGGGGCATGGGGCACCAGGACCTGTGTACTGCCTTCCGGCTTCACGTACTTTGGCTCTTCTTGGCTCTTCCCCACTGACTTCCTCTGACTTTCCTTCTTGTCATTTCCCTGCTTTCTGCTGTCCTTGATGAGACAAGTCCCTACGTCACTCCCTGCTGACCGAGTATGCGGTAGCTTCTCATGTAGTTCATATGAAACACGGGACAAGGTGTGTCCATGTGTACTTAGTCCTCATCCTTCACACATGGAGACCACAACGGAAATCCACATCCTTATTCAGCATCGCACAGAGTCAGGATTTGAATCTGGGACCCTGCAGGGAGTCACACAGGAGAAGAAAGAAACCAAACACCATCCGTTTGAGCAAGTGGCTTCAGGCATCAATCCCAAGCCTTGCCTTCTGTCCTCTCTGGGCATTCTGCTTTGGACCCGCAGGGATCTGTTCCCGGAGACTGGCACTTCACTGCCCACTGCCCTTCAGCTCACAGTTAGTCAAGACTTCTGTCTCGGCATCTGAAACACTGTGACACAAACCCATTTCCCTCGGTGCGGTCACGTGACAGCGGCATCTCTCACACCTGCCTCTGTGTCTGTTAATCCTTCCCCGTACAGATCTGCTGCCCATCTGGTCCACAGAACCATTGGACTTTTTGGCCTCCTGTCTTGTCAGGATTGTTTGTGTGTTTTTTTTTTCCCACTGGCAGCTGGGTTCTCATTTCTCTTCATTTTATTCTTCTCTCACTGAGTAGCAGGAGGCACAGTTCCAGGCAGGGGACCTGTCTCTGGGGTGGGGGTGTGCAAAGCCGCAGTTGAGCACCGCCGCCTTTGTCTTCATGTTGCCCCAGACTGTGCTCTGAAGCCCAGGAGGTCCGCAGTTCCGTGGCTGATCCTGCCCCACTGTGTTTCAGGTTACTGCCAGGGGAATGGCTACCGCGTTGGTTTCGGCCAGTGTGCTGGAAAGGTGCTGCCTGCCCTCTCGCCAGCCTGAGGTTCCGGAAACCACAGACCACAGCCTTGCCTGCTGCGGACCCTGCTGCGGCTGCCCTTCATCCGGGAACAAATAAAGCCCTTTGGCTTGTGGGAAGGGCCACAGAATTCTCTGTCCTTGGTTTTGTACAGTGGGTCGCTGCTCCCATGGTAACGGCCATTAGTTCATCTCTTCCAGGTGTAGGGCTGAAGGCCTTGGTAGGGGTTCTTCGTCAGACTCCTCAGGCCTTCAGTACTCCCTGGAATATGGGAAGAGAATGGCCCCTGAAGTGTGTCCCCAGAGTGTGTGTGTGTGTGTGTGTGTGTGTGTGTGTGTGTATGCACGGCATGCATGCATGCATATACACATACACATGTGTAAGGATGGAAAGAAAGACACATTAAACACACGCGTGCATGCATGCACGCACGCGCACACACACAGAGGGGGGATTATTATAGAGACTTAAAGCTCCAAATCTGTAGTGCAGGTTATCTGGCAAAATTCTCTTTTCTCTCGTGGCTGTCACCACGGAACCAAGTCCAACGTGTATACCTGAGCCAAGGACAGAATGAGCGAGGGTCCTGGTGCTCATCTTTATCCTTCATACCCATTGGAGCTCAGATGCTGCCCAGTCTCTGTCCCCGCCCAATCTACACCGTCGCCTTGGCCTAGTTTCTGAGAGATGGAAGAGGATAAGATCACCATGGCTCTTCTTGGGCTCGATGAGTGAGAATCCAGGCCTGCTAATAATTAATGCCTTTCATTATTCATTCATGAGCTTTGTACCTCTCTGACCTTCCTGAGTCTTAGGAGTTTCCTGAGCTCCTCGTTTTGTTGATGTGTCTCATAACCCTTACTCCTACCTTCCTTTTAGAGGAAATATCTACACAGCACTCCGCCCCTTCCTCCGGCCTTCCCCTCTCTCTTCTGGAGTGTTCCTTGAGCCTTAGAGAGGATGCTATAGACGTCTGCTTATTTCCTTCCATTTATATCTTAGCGTGGGGCCACTAGGCCACGGCAATAGCCACTTATTCTCCAGTTCGACCCCTCATGAAACTCCATAGTAACCCCTGCCCGCTACAAAGAAAAGTTCCCCTGATAGTCGCAGTCATGGCAGGGTATGTGTGCAAATGTTTAGGAGATCGTAAGATAGGCACGTATTTCTATTTAACAAACAGGAGTCACGTCCCCCAACTGCTGGGTTATGCCCTGGCTTACAGGTTCAGACATGGGATGCCTCTCATTCCAAACACAGAGCAGACCTTAACTCTATTCAGAACGTGGTTGAGTGCGTTGCCTGGCCTGTTGACAGCGTGGTACAGTAGACAGTAGGTCAATAATCAAGGAGAACTATCGGTGACAAAGTTTCCTCTGAGGCCCGTATAGCACCTCTGGGTTCTACAGAACCCACTCAGAGAGGGAGCCTCCAGATTAGTCTCAGCTTGATTCCTACAGGTCTTTTAGCCAAAGCATGTGTGCTTTCAGAAATACAGACTGAACGTATTTCAACCTACCCAGAGGCAATAGAGTTTATGGGTTACAGTGCCCTAGTCACCGCTCTGGGCAGCAATGTGTTAGGGAGTTGCAGAAGCTGCAGCCTTCCCCCCCAGGGGACACTGTCTCTCCGTCTACCTTGCCTCCCACCCCCAGAAACGGCTGGCAAAACTGTAGTATAGAATGGGTTTTTTTTTTTTTGAAAGACTTCATTTCAATGACTGACATACAAAAAAACCAGCAATATCTACACCTTTTATATTTTATTTATTTTTTTAAAACTGATACACAAATTGTACATATTTACAGCATATCATAGGGTGTGCTGATATGTGTGTATATTGTGCAGAGCCAAGTCTGGGCAACCCATAATATCACCTCAAACATTACTTCGTTGTGGTAGAAACATTCAAAACCCTTTCTCCCAGCTCCTTCGAATCAACAGCATAGAAATACAATAGAACTGATTTCCTTAGGACCCAGTGACCAGGGTCCCCACTCCTCCCCCAGTTTCTGGTAACCACCATTTTCCTCTCAGTTTCTGGGTAAGCAACAGTTTTGACTCCATCCGTGATATCACGAGTACTTGCTTTTCTGTACTTGGCTCCAGTTCCATCATGTCCCAATGCCAAGACTTCTTCTTTCCTATGGATGAATCAGATCCCACTGTGCTTAGATACCACATTGTCTTCATCTGCTGTCTGATGAATATAAGCTTCCCAGCTCTTGGCTATTGTGATTGGTGCTGTAATCAATGTGGGATTGGAGTCCTTAGAGACTCTGGTTTCATTTCCTTTAGATACACCGATAAACCCCAGTGAGGGATCATATGGCATGTCTAGTTTTAAGATCATAAGGAACCCCATGCTGTTTCTACCATGGCTATGTTAACGTATCTTCCAGGTAGGGGGGTTGTGACTCATGAAACTGACTTTTCCACCCTTATAATAACCGTATATGTTCTGGATTGGGAATCTGTGGTGACTCAGAATGAATTGCTTCTACCAGTGAACATGGTGGGAGTCTGGTAACTTGGAAGATGGCTTTTGTGCCATTTGGGGCTTATTAGGTGAACCAGTGTACAGAAAAGGGGATGGCCACACTGTCCGTCAACATTTTCCCATAGCCTACAAGCTACGGGATTACTGATATCCCACAGGGGCAAAGGAGCTCCCACTAGAGCCCAAGGGGTCACTGGGACACTTGATACATCTGTAAGTCTAGAGTTCAAATTCCTAATTAGTTCTGTGGTCTCTGGAGATGACTGTCAAGGACTTATGGAGTCAGTGCCGAAGGACAGGAGCAGGTGTATAACTGAGGCTGCCTGTCTGTATCTGTGCCAGAACTGATGTGGGAGGTTCAGTGTGATCACTTCCCAGCAGCCTGGGCCAGCAGCTACAGGGACTACTATGGATATTATCCATCCTACACGGCAAGTCCAATTCTCAACAGCAAGACCATGGGACAGGGACCCGGTCTCACAGACAAAAGACTTTGCAATTATCTCCACTTGGTGCTTGAAAGCAGGACTGGCCTCTTTTGAAGACCTCTGGGGTCTTGGGGGCAATTTTGGGGTTTTTCATTCCAGCAAGGACATGTGGGGCTAGGGGCAAATATCAACGACACAACGCTGGCCTCATATGTACAAGGCCATGAGTTCCATACTCAACGATGCAACCACTCCACCAAAAAAAAAAAAAATGTGGACATTTGAAAATTAATTGGTGGGGTGGGAGGTATGTAGAGGGAGTGGGAGGAAGGGAGAGAGTGAAAACTTGGATTGGTATGTATAGTAAAAAAAAGATAGTTTGTTGAAAATTAATTGGAAAAATAAAATGGCCTGGTGGCAATTTATATGCCATGCTCGGGCAGCGGGGTCCCGCCACTCACACCCGTCACACCCGTCCTCTAAGCATGCCCAGGGACCAACTTCCTTCTGGTGCCTATCATCTGGATTTCCTGCTTCTGCATATTTTTATTACCCCATCTGTCTCTGGGCCACCTGGGCCCTCTCTGTGGCCGTCTAACGGAGATGGACCCACTGTTGAGGTCACACAGGCGTGAAAGGACCGTGCGCCTGCCTTTGCCGAGAGCTTGAGGTGACACCTAGGGACTTCCACACAGCACATCACAGGCAGCAACCAGAACCCAGCCTTTAGATGCCGCTGTCTGGAGATGTTGTCATCCGTTTCCTGCCAGAGAGTTTGCCTTCTTCTCTGGCTTGTAGCTGACCCCACAGCTATCCCTTTCCCCAGCCTCTCTTCATTTCCTCTCTGCCGACTTCCAGCCTGCAGCCTGATAGTTTGCTGCAGCGTTTCCTTCTCTACCCACAGCTGCAGGCTTTTGTCCAGCTAGCAGAAACGGATGCGGGTGCTCTGGTCACTAAAGGACCACGTCCTCCATCCTTCAGAACAGAAAGCACAGGAGAAAAACACCTTGAAATTCTCCACCTCTCTCTTGCCTTCGTGTGACCCAGCGACAGAGATAGGGACCTCCCTTTCACTCTTGCCCGAAGTCGGCTCTCAGTCTTCCAGCGCCAACCCCAGGCGCAGCCCAGCCACTTCTATCTATCCTTCTCAGCACACGTACAATGAGGAAAAAGGAAAGCAACGTATTTGCTGTCATGGTCTGCCTTGCTATGCACATGCACGAGGGGATCCATTTAAAAACTGACCTTAAACATGATGAAAGTGGGGGAAGCTGGGAGATTGGCTCAGGAGGCCAAGTGCTTGCTGTGCAAGTGTGAGGGCCTGAGTTTGAATCCCCAGAACGTAAGTGCAAAGGTGGGTGGGGCCAGCAGTGCACAGCTGTGATTTCAGTACTTCCGTGGGGGGTGGCAGGTGGAGAAAGGAGAATCCCTGAAAGCTCATGGGCCGCCTAACCTGGGCTCTAAAGTGGTGAACAAAGAAGAGACTGTCTCAAACAAGGGGCAGCCGGCAGGAGGATGGACAGGAGAAGGGAGGGTGCTTTGTTGGCTTGTCGGAAGCTTCTGGAGGGGCGGAGTGGATTTTAAAATCACATCTCTTTTCTCAAACAAGCCGGGCAGTGGATTCTTTCCCCACGCCGCCGTGAAAACAGCACAAAGAGACAAGGTGAAAAGTACTAGGACGTCTAGGTTTGGGACGTTGTCAGAAACCAGGGGTCCTGGCAGTGCTTCTCAAACAGGAATGTGCTATCATCCCGGGGTCTGGCCCAGGCTGCCTAGTCTGATTCTAGTCTACCAAGTCTGTAGGCCTGAGGAGGAAAGAGGGGCTTCTCGCAGCCTCCCGCAGCCTCCTCCTGAGAAGGTGTGGTTTTCCCTCAGCGTGCAGTCTGAGGAACACAGCCTGGGGCATCCCGTTTTTTTCCCTCCAAAAGGAAAAGGTCCAGAAGCAAGTCTTCAGAGCTCTCTTCAGATGTCTTCTCAATCCCTGCTGCTCTGTCATTAATAGCTGGGAACAGGCCCTGTCTGACTTTGCAAACCCATCCTAACAGGTTCCTGTAGAAATGCCTGCCCATCTGTGAGGTAGGTTTCTGAGGAAGGGCTTGGCTGAAGGTGATGCCTCATAGCCATGTTTGGAGTCTGTGCCAGCTGTCTCTTTGTGCGTGTGTGTGTGTGTGTGTGTGTATGTGAGAGAGAGAGAGAGAGAGAGAGAGAGAGAGAGAGAGAGACTGAGCATGCCCTGGAAAGCCACCTCAACAGCGTCTGTCCACCTTTAAAGATCACCTAGCAGTGACGGTGCTTTGGAAACCTTTTTCCGGGTAGCCTGAGGTGCATGGTGACCCATGGCTTGAGTGTAGGTGATGGGGGAGGTCTAAGGGCCACAGCACAGGTCTCTTTTGATAGGGCAGCAGGTCCTACCCTGGAAGGACACAGTAGACGCACCTCACATATGCAATAACACGGACAGTAGCGACAACCATGCGTGTCTGGAGACTCGGGGAGTGTCATGTGTTGAGGAGGTGTCTATGAATGTCCTGCAGGCCAGTGGCACTGGCTGGGAGCTCTGGCTCTTGGAAGGCTTGGGTTCTTTCCCTAGAGTGAGAGATTCAGGAAGGGATACCCCTGTTTGCTCACGTTCTCCATCTTCTCTCCACAACAACCATGTGAGGTAGATGTGATCCCCTGTTTTATAGATGAGGAAATTGGCGCTCACAGGTGCTGATTTATTGAGGGGTTATATAACAAAAACAAGGGATTGGAGGCTGGGAAGGGGATGTGGGCTCTGACCTAGAACCCTTGCAGCAAGGTCATAGATGCCAGTGACAGTGTGTGGGAGAAGTGGATGAAGGAAAGACCAGAGAAGAGTGATCACCAGCAGCCTAGTCTCAGCTCCCGCAGTAGCATGGCTGCTTTCCCTGACAGACAGGCAGACTCCCCCTTCTCATCTTACAATGGTGAAACTGAGGTACCTGGAGGGGAGGTGACTTTCTCAAGATCGTACAACCTTTGAGTAGCTGAAGCAGGACTAGAACCCAGATCTTGCCTGGAGCTCCAGGGATGCAGAGCTTCTGAAGGTTGCTGGGTGAAGTAATTTGGGTGAGAACATTGTGCAAATGTTAAAGAGAAAGAAAAGGACCATATTCAGTCACGACCTAGACAGTACACTCTCAGTCACGGAAACCAGCCATGGTATCTTGAGAGGCAGAAGGTATTTGAGCTCTCGTATGAATCAATGCAGCATCATGCATACGGTGTGAATTACTAAAAAAATTTCTTGTAAAAAAGACTTGGAGAAGTATATCAAAATGATGGCTTCTGGGAAGTTGGGTTATAAGTGCTTTGCACATCCTTTTCTTGTAGTTGTAGTTTTCTTTTATTATATTTCTTCTATATTTTCCCAAGTGTTCAAAATGCACATCTCATTCTTAACAGGAAAAATATATCCCCTCTATATTTTAGTTAAAAAAAAAAAACAAAACACTGTTTGGAAGTAGCTATGTGCCTTGTGAGAATTTGCAGGAGAAGCCCCCTGAATTTTCCGTTCTTCCTGCCCCTCTGCTGCTAGGCTGTGGGCAAGAGTCCTGGGCTCTCAGCAGCCTCTCTGTGCTGTGTATTGGAAGGGCAGTCTCCCCCTGACCACTGTTTGCAGACCAGAGTATCTGTTCTTTGTTCATTTTCCAAAGATGCGCAGGAGCCTAGACAGGGGGCCATCACCCTGCAGTCTCCCAATGGAGTCCCAGAATAGACGCCACCTGCCTGAGTCATGGCTTAGCATCCTTCCCAGGCTTTCCCAAAATGCCTCGCCTCCAACATGCTGGCATTTCCCTCCGGCGGTCATGCGAGAACCAATAAGGTGAAGGCGAGCCTTCTCCACCTCCGAGTGGTCATAGTCACTCCCAGCCTCCAAGTGCTTGTCGGGTCTCGGCCAGGGTAGAAAGAGGTGCATCCCAGGGTCCCGTGACACGTCCTGCGCCTCAGTCATCCAGGTGCTGCTCCTCCCAGGTCGACGTGGGAATGGCACTGTAAGGATCCATAATGACCTTGGCACAGCGGATGATCATGACGACGAGGAAGAGGCAGAGGAAAACGAAGCAAGCCAAGGTCAGCCCCTTGTCCACATCCACATAGACTGGCTCTGGAGTGGGTTCCTCCATCCTGCAGCTGTGACTGTGGGCTCCCAGGTCTCCGGTCTGACTGGAACCATTTTCTACCCCTGTAGAGAGAGTCAGTCAGTGAGGAAGTCGGGGTCACTTGTCTGTGTAATTCATCCCCGAGGTCAAGAGCTTACTGCTAAAGATACCCCCATTTAGGGGCGCCGATGGTCACAGCCCTCTTACCTTGTAGGCAATCTTTATTTCCAGCAATACACACCCCAGGGTGGAGGTGGTGACATGACAGTGACTCTCAGCAGGACATGGTGGAATGGGCTGAGGGACCACCTTGAGGGCAGTGCCCTGTGCTTACCTCCAATTCTAAAGCCCTTCAGGAAGTCATGAGGGCAACACGCTCCACTCAGCAAATGCAGGGGCAGACCATAATCAAAACACTTTTTTTTAAAAAAAAAAAAATGGGGGGAGGATATTTTTAAAGTATTCAATAGAACACTTCTAAAGAAGTAGAGGGCCGACCAACCAGTATTCCCAGGCAGGTAAGAGCTGCTGCCGTAGAGGAGTGGGAGGCACATTCTTCCGGGGTTCCCCAGGACTATCAGGGGCTCAGCCTGTCTTGAAAGATGTGTTGGGGACAGAAGGTGCAAGGGTTGGAGCTGTCAGGCAGAGCCCAGCCCTGGTCTGCCGTTCTGCTGCTGTAACGGGTCTGGGCCATCCCTCAAACACCGGGGGTGCCTTCCAGACTTTCAGGCCCAGTGCTGCCCCTGCTGAGTGCAGACAACCAGCCCCTACCTGCCTTATGGGGACCTGTGTGTTAAATAAAATTGATCCCGTGTTCAAAAGTCCAGCACAGCTTCTGGCCCTGGGATTGGCCAGTTGACAAATAGATGGGCTGACATAGGACTGGGGCGGGACAGGCGAGGAGGTTTAGCTTGGTTCCCAGAGAGGCCAATGGCAGGGCAAAGAACATGAGAATGTGTTGGGAGCAGTGAGACCCCAGATCCTGAATTTCTTGTAATCCTCTGATCTGAGTGCCTACAGCTGCTCTGAGCACGAGACCTTCAGGAGTTCCTGATGGCAGGAGAGTGGTTTCTGGTGGGTTTGGCGGCGTGGCTATCTCTATATAATCTGCCCCTGAACAATAAAGGGGCATTCTTGGGGAATTCAAGGATGACCCGTGTGGCTGTCTCTCTGTCTATGTGTGTCTGTGTATTTTAACCTCCAGCCCCCTTGCCCAAAGCTCGTGAACTGGGTGCCAGCGCACAGAGCGCAGACACGGGGGGGGGGGGGGGGGGCTCGGTATGCGGCAAGAATGAGAGGCCTGCCCAGTACTCCACAGAGGATAGTTTGGTAAATATGGAAGCTTAGCTACAAAGCAGGTAATTGACAGCCAACGTCCCAACCCCAACCTCAAAGCATCCTCATTTCCCCTTAGGTCCCCTCTGTCCTCAGCCATTCCTGGACCACCGACCTGCCAGCTGGAGTGGTCACCACTTCAGGAAGCCCCTGGGTTGAGCTGCTCCGGCAGCCAAGATGGACAACAGAACATCACAGCCAGAGCCAACGAGTCAGCGTGACTTCTCAGAGAGCAGAGCCGCAGGTGACTGGAACAGAACAGAGGAGTGGTTGCTTCTGGAGACTTCTACCCCAAGTGAGACCATTACTGGACAGGAAGGAAGGGTGCCCCGCAGCCCCTCCACACACTCTCCGGCTCATGATGGATTTTCTTTGGTTTTTTTTTGTTCCACTTAGTTTTAGTTTTTAAACATTGCATACAAAGCTGGGCGGTGGAGGCGCACACTTTTAATTTCAGCACTTGGGAGGCAGAGGCAGGTGGATCTCAGTGAGTTAGAGGCCAGCCTGAGCTACAAAGCAAGTTCCAGGACAGCCAGGACTGTTACACAGAGAAACCCTGTCTCGAAAAACAAAGAAACAAAAAATTGCATACAAAGAAATGGGTTTCGTTATGGAATTTTCATACACGCTTTATTGTGTTTCACTGATTTCCCCTTCTCTCCTGCTCTCACTGATCCCTGGTGAGATGCTCCTATCGTGATTTGATGTCACACTCATTCTGTCTCCTTTTTTCCTTCCCCTCCCCAGCCCTTCTTTATGATCTCTCGCCTCCCCTTCCCATTGCCCCCTCTTAGTTTCAAGCCCTATACCCAAAGCTCCCTATGTCTATACACAGTTATGAAATTAAAGTTCTCAGAGAAGAGACATCTGAGCTACTTCACTTAACATAATGGCTTCCAGTCATATCCATTTTCCTGCAAAGATGATGATTTCATTTTTCTTTATGGCCACATAAAATCCTTTGTGTACGTGTGTAGCACGATTTAATAAAAACCCAGAGACAGAAATCGGGGTTCAATCTGAAAGTCAGAAAAGCAAAAGAGCCAACCATTGACTCTTCCCTCTACCTCAGTCTGAAATGAAGATCCTGCCTCCAGGAATCTCAGAATGAGACTGAGTCTGAGAGCTGTCTCCTCCCATCTCCTATTCCTCTCTAGGGCTGGTATTAAAGGCATGCATCACTACTGCCCGGTTTCTATCGCAAACTAGTGTGGCTACTGGAATTAAAGGTGTGTGTCACCACTGCCTGGTCTGTAAGGCTGATCAGTACAGCTGTTTTACTCTCTGAACTTCAGGCAAGCTTTATTTATTAAAAACACAAATACGATATCACTACATATGTGTCCCTTTTTTGTTGTTCCTTCATTTGTTGATGGACATCTAAGTTGGTCCCATTTCTTAGCTATTGTGAATGGCATCATAATAAATATGGATGCACAAGTCTTTGTGGCATAGTATTGACTTAGAGTCCTTCCTTACATGCCCAGGGCTTTTTAAACTTTTAATGTTTTGCCAATTTGGGGGATAACATCTTCTAGAGGTATATTTATCAGTATTCTCAAACATGCAGAAAAGCTGAATGAGTTGTAACACTCAGAGCCAGTGAGCTGCCTGTCTGCTCTCTCTCTCTCTCTGTTGAGTGTGCACTAGGGGAGATGCAGACGTGAGCTGCCTGTCTCTCTGCTCTCTCTCTGTCGAGTGTGCACTAGGGGAGATGCAGACATAGGCGCATCTCCCCCCAGAGACTGCGGCATTCACACCGGTAACTGGAACTCACTCTCCGTCCCTTGTCTCTTTTTTTTTTCAAATCACACTTTTGGTGCGAGTGTGTCTCCTCACTCACACATCCCATGGCTCATGTATGGTGGAGGTCAGAGGACAACGTGTGTAAAGATTGTCTCTCTCCGCCATGTGAGTGCGTGCCTTATTTCAGATCATCAGGCTGCGCAGTCATCTCACTGGGCCCCATTAGAGTTTTCTTTTTTAAAAAAGTATGCTGCTTTTATAAGTTGAGAATTTCAGAGATGAAGAAACTTGGGAGGCGGGGAAAGGACGGGGCTTGGTTGTGGTTTCGGAATGCAGAATGTTGCCACAGTGGCACTTGTGGCGAGCCCAGGATTCTGTCACCCCTCTTTAGGCTTCAGGCCCTGCAGCCAGCATTGTCTCCGCGTGGTCTCAGAGGAAGAAACGCTGAGCTTTCTGCTCCTGGGTTGCAGAGCAGAGCTAAGCCCTCTGGTCTTTCAAGAGCCGACTGACAACATTCTAGGCAAGTGGCCTCAGGTTAGTATCAGACAGTTTGTACATTGTGTGGGTCAGACCTCAGCAGACTCACCTGTGGCCCTCTCCTATCTTGTCTGGCTCTAGATCTTGGAGATTCACCCCAGGGGAATATGATCAGTGTCTCCTGCCCCAGGGGCACGTGCCAATCAGGAATGTGGCCTCCAAGAGCAGACTCCCCCACACTGCTCCCAGCGGGGAAATATCATTAGCCTTAATTACTAGGAGGGCACCTGACCCAGCCAACTCTGTTTCAAAGTGAGGACACGACACCTGGGAGGGAACTCAACTTGGCACTCAGCTGCTGTATCCTGGGGACTGATCTGGAGGCCGTCACAGTCACCTGCTCAGTTGGCGCGGACATAACTGCACCCTCTTCTCTCACTGTGTGCTCTAAGCCAGCGCTTGTCCTCCACCCTCTAGCTGCCGGTAGAAAGGTCGGTGTTGGTGATTCTGACCATGGTGAACAAGTGACATGTAGGTGAGAAGTGTCTTCTGGGTTGACCCTGCATACTGGTCAAAGTCTGTAGTATCATGTGTGGTTGGGGCGAAGAAGAGCCAAGCAGGAAAGAGTCCTGCCACATGCTATGGAAAGCTAGGGGGTGAGATAAACCAAAATGTAGCATCTGGGACCAAAGTCTGAGTCAGAAGGGTAGAAAAACCTAGTTATAAGGTAATCCCAACTGAGTTACTGAACAGACACAGGGTTCATGTGCAAATTTGTGTACCACACCAGGCCAAATCGGAGATGCCCAGGGCAGGCTGTCAGCCCATCCTCGTCTCTTTGACTTTGCCTTGGAGGAACCTCAGTTGAACTCATAACAGCATTGGTAATATTTGCTAACATGCCAACCACAGCCATTTATACCCCCAAAGTGAGACCTTATCTGTTTGTTTGTATTTAGTCATGTAAGTATGAATCCAAACTCAGCGAAAAGTTGTAGAGTCAAAATGTGCTTGATTGAGGGGTTATAAAGATGGCTCAGTCAGTAAGGTACCCAGAAGCACAAGGAAGGGTCTGAGTTTGATCTCCAGAACCCCACTTTAGGAAGACCCAGATGTGAAGCTTGGTGGCATGCCAGCCTATTTGACGAGTTCCAGTACAATGAAGGAGAAGAAATAAAAGGGAGACAGGTCTTGAGAAATGACACCTGATGTCCTTTGGCCTCCACATGCATTCATTCTCTCTCTCTCTCTCTCTCTCTCTCTCTCTCTCTCTCTCTCTCTCTCTCTCTCTCTCTCTGTGTGTGTGTGTGTGTGTGTGTGNTCTCTCTCTCTCTCTCTCTCTCTCTCTCTCTCTCTCTCTCTCTCTCTCTCTCTCTCTCTCTCTCTGTGTGTGTGTGTGTGTGTGTGTGTGCGCGCGCGCACGCTGCAGAAGGGCTGGGAATCTGCTTGTGCAGACACATTAAAACATCCTCAGAATTTAGAATACATTTCTGGAATTCCCTCTCCAATTGTGCCCACATCAGTACAGGTCTGTTGCGGCAAACATTTGATGAGTGTCCTTGGTTGTGTTTGTTTGCTGCTCCCTGGTTGTCGCTCTTGTTCTCCAGGAGCTAAGTGGTCACAAGGCAAAGCCAGACTTTTTCCAGGTAGTGTATCAAGAGTTATTGCTAAGCACTGATGTAAATTAACTTGAGATGACCACACATATTAGTATCAGGAAGTGTTGTGAGCAAAACTTGCTCCAACTTCCTTCTACCCTACTCAGATACAATGAGCCAGAAGTGGTCTTGTGGGTCTTGTTTGGTTTTTCATTTCTTTGCGAGGCGGGGTCTCACTCACTACCTCAGGCTGCTCCTCTATCTCTACCCTCTGAGTGCTGGTGCTGTGCCCGCATCACACGGAACCCCCAAATGAGACCACCCCAGAGCCACTGTCCAATGCAGACACACTGGGGTTTATTGAATACAAGATAGCTTGGACCACAATCCAACACACCAATGCAGCGCGTGGGGACAACAGCCCTGAGCCTTCAGGGAAGGGGTTTTTAAAGAAAGAAACCGCAAAGCAGGTTGACACAAGCCTTGGCGTTTCGGGATTGGGTAAAACTTACACAACTTTTGAATTCGTTGGTTGGGGTATAGAGGAATTTCAAAATAGTGACTGTCAGCCGACAAGAATTTCAAAGCAGCGGTTAATCAGATACCTACAAGGATGTTTGAAGCAAGCAGATGTTGTTTGGACACCCTGATGGGTCACTTTGGCCAAGGTAGGCACAGTTCCTTAGAAGTGTTTATGACTTTTCTGGGCTGGATTCACTCCCCTAGTTAGGTCCTGTCTAAAATGGGAGTGCTTTCTCAAAATGGAGTTTGTTCTGCTCCTTAACTGGGATTACACACACGAACCACCAGGCACAACTGGTATGTGTACCTCCTCACAAGGCCACTAATGCTATTGTTAGATTGAGATTCCACTACTGTGGCATACTTAATATTTCTGTATATTTTTTATTTTTAAAATTAGCCTATAATCTGGGCAGTGGTGGTGAACACCTTTAATCCCAGCACTCGGGAGGCAGAGGCAGGTGGATCTCTGTGAGTTTGAGGCCAGCCTGGTCTACAAGAGCTAGTTCCAGGACAGTTAGGACTGTAACACAGAGAAACAAACCCTGTCTCAAAAAGCCAAAAAAAAAAAAAAAAAAGAAAAGAAAATTAGCATATAAGGTATTAGTTGTCATTATGACATTTTCAAACCAAGTGTGTTTCAGTGATTCTCCTCCCCATCTCTCGCACCCCGATACCTCTGATTCCTCCTTTTAGTTCCTCCCCCAGCATCTTTTTATTTTTAATCATGTGCCATCTGTATTTCTGACTGCTTCTGATCCTCTCTTGTCAGCCTTCTTATTCTTTTGTTTGTTTGTCTCGAAAAACCAATGAACCAGGGTTTATCTGTGTAACAGCCCTAGTTGTCCTGGAACTAGCTCTTCCAGGAGACCAGGAGAACTCATGTCTGACATCTTTCCTCCAG